GTTTCATCATCTTTGAGCAGGAATTAACATGTTTCTCACTCCCTTAGTATTCTTAGTACCAAGCACGTTGGTTTCATAATGCATTTGTCCTCCTTTCCCATTCTAAATGAGAAACTATATGAGCAAGTACTTTGTTAATATATAAAATAATATATTAACGTAGATCATTCTTAAAAGCTGATTCAAATGCAATGTAACTAGTCTATTCACTTTCTTCCAGGATCTGGGTCTTTCACCTCCATAATAAAGGTCCCCCTCAGCAGGTATGGAATACCAGAGACTATAAGCCAAAGCAATACCACCCGGCCATTAAGACCAGACTAGATATTTTATGTAGGCAGCACATGCATTTTGTATTTCTTTGGCCCATTGCCTCCTGAGAGTACATTTCTGTTATAGTACAGTGGGCTAGAAGTGGAAATCATCAGCTGCAATTCCTCTCTGTATCTCATTAGAGGTCTAGTTTCCCCTTAATGCACATGAAGACCTTTCATTAGCAATAATGGGGGCTGCACACATCAAAGAGAAAAATAGCCCTCACCATTGTGATCTAGGAGATGAGGTTACTGGGACACTTGCCTGCCTGATTGGAGAATTATGACATTCAGAGATGCATGATCAGATCAAGGAAAAATTAAAATCTTTGTGACTATTTAAAAAAAGTAAAATGCAATTTAAAAACCTCAAACTGGAGAAGGGCAACAATCAAAACTAAAAAAAATCACAGGCAGATTGAATCTAGGAATGAGTTAAGCAAGTGAAAGCCAAATGACAAGATAAACAAAGGTGGGGAAAGATTACTCGGGGGATCTGACAAAATAAGAGCTGTTTCCAATACATACAAAGTAAAACATTGGCAAGAGAGACTATGGTCCAAGAAGAAAAGGCAAGGACCATTTACCGTCAGAAGCGGTAAACACTGCTGAAAAGTTAAACAAATCCTTTGCCTCCACATTCACAAAGGAAGATGGAAGATGCCAGAAATGACTGTGCCCTGGAGAAAGGTCAATGAAAAAGAGTATTACTGAAGGAAATGGAAGTGACACCTGAGTTTATGTCTTGAGGTTGACACAAATGCCAGAAGCAATATTTTCCTACTGCAATCAACTCAACTTTAAATAAGGAGAATGGGCCACCCTCTATTGTTACAGGTCTGATGAAGTAGTAGAGTCCTTCAGTTTTGTCCAAATGTAAAAACAGTAATTTGGGGATTAAAAGAAGAGAAAGTCATTTTTACCTTTCTTTATAGTATAACATCAGTGGATGAGGATTTTTTTATAGTTTTTTCCTGAAAGGAAGACACACGTAGAAAGAAGACTAAAGATGTATCTGCAATCTATTGAAAAGGGCTTCCAGCAAGTCCTACTATACGCATGGATTCAGTAACCCATCTACTATCCCCTCACTTCATGAAGGTTCCAGGGAATACTTAATAAGACTCTGAGGCTACATCCAATCTTTTCAATCAAAGAACTGAAAATGGGTTGCCTAACTCACAGTTGTAAGGAAATGCAACTGATGTCAACATCAATCCTGTGGAATCAAATTGTGACTCTAATAAACTGATCATATGACAATTGATATGAGGGCCTAACAGCCTCTGAGAACAAGACTACAGGTAATCGAAGAATTGTCTGGGATAGACCAAACCCCTAAGGATTGGCCCAAACTCCCCAAGCTGGGGGTGGTGGCTCTTGAAAACCATTTCTGTATCTGTGGGTTTTATCCCTAAAATCACTATCGAGGATTTGGTATAGCCATTATGGGTTCTACTATAGGGCCAACCAGGCTTAAGGTACATTAGAGTCTTTTTTTTCCTACATAAAAAGGAAACTCAAGGGAATGGGTATTAGGCCACAGCTGTTTGCTCCAGCAAACTATAATTTCCCAGTAGCTCTGGCTCCCCAGCCCCTCCCTCCCTGTCTCAAGTAATCTGGAGGCAGATCAATCCCTGTCCCTGTTCCAATCCATGCAAAAAGGTGCAGACTCTAATTTGGAAAAGTCACCACACGGTAAGCCAGCTTTAACTCCTCCACTGCACAGTCTTGGCTATGGGATGCAGAAACCACCCACTGCTTTTCTCTCATCTTTGTAAACATCTAAGAGACTCGGGATCTTCATCCTTCCCCTCATTATTTATCTACTAACTGCTGTCCCAACAGAAGGGAGATAGACCTCTGTTGAGATAGACCAAAGCACTGTCCAAGGCACTGACGACTTGATCAGGCTCTCTGCAGATGGGCACTTGAGTCATTTGCTAAAATAAGCACTATAGGCATTTGGCTTGACCCCAGTTTAGTATTACCTCTCTAAATACCCTTGTCCCATTTCTATGATAGGACTATCACAGAAGAAGATGCCCAATGAGAAGATTAAGGGAAAAATTGGTAAATGGTATATATTTAATATGAATGAGAAATGTTTACTATAAAAATGGAGTTTAAAACTCAAAACGATTCTTTCATAACACAACAGAGTTCAATGCCAGCATGGTTTGAAAATGAAGATTTCACTTAGGTTTTCCAAAGAATGTTAAAAAATACAGTGCGAACAATGTAGAAACACTTTAGAAGACACTAAAATTTGAAATTTCAAAATAATTAAGTTAGCATTAGATAACTACATCTCAATTTCCAAGCTTCCAAAAATGGAGAAAAAACTTTTAGTTTACCTCAGTATTTTAAAAATCAGGTTATCTGGGGCAGTCTGAAGATTCATTCTCTCAGGTATTTTCAATTAAGAATAATGCTATGTCTTCTAGAACCTTATCAAGCATTATCAATGATCATGGAGTCAACTTCAAATATGTTTTACTGTTTCAGTTTGTCACATTTAATTTTCCATTAGATTAATATGCTAGGCTTTTTCTGTGTTTTTGTTCTTGGGTAAGTGAATGATTTATTAGACCTGGTACTCAGTTTATGAGCTTTTCTCATTTCAACTTGAAGAAACTGCAAATATTTATAGAAGATGAACCATACATATCTGTTCCTGAAAAATGTCAGAATATAGCACTCAAATCAAATGCGAACAGAAGCTATTCCCTAACACTACATACTGTGCAGATTTAATTTCCATTGACATGTTTCCCTGAACAGTTTTTCCCACTACAGTAATTCCTAACCCCAAAACTCCTGAAATCTTCAAATGTGCACTCGCATATTACTCTGAGTTATGGGTATCTAAACAGTCATATGGAATTTAGTAAATAACCACATTTTAAAAAATATAATTGAAAAAAAAAAATAAAAAATATAATTGAATCCTGTTAATCTTACACTATGAGGAAAACAGTAATTATGTTTCAACTGATTTTCCTTTTATTTTACTCTTTGATACTTCAAGGGTGTTTTGTTTAACTCACAATAGAATTCCAAATGTAGGCAATTAGAATGCAAGGAAATAAACCAACAGAGTATACAATCCACAAGGACAGAGAACATGACCGGCTTTGTTTATCAATACATCTCATCTATGTAACACAGTCACACTCAAATGTGTGTGGACTCAAATAAGCAAGCCCCATGGGTGGGAGTGCAAATCAGTATAACCTTTCTTGAAGGCAATTTGGCAATACAGGTAAAAAGCCTTAGAATTTTATATACTCTTTGACCACTAAGTCCATTTCTAGGAGTTTATCCTAGAAAAATTAATTCATGTGAGCAAGTACCTGAATTCTAGAATGGTCAAAGGCCATAGCTTTTTAAAAGCAAAACCCTGCTAACAACCTAATATCCTGAATAAGAACTTAGTGTAGCGCTCATCAAGTAAGTACCAACCACTATTCTAGGTGCTTTACCCCACTCTTCAATAAACTTCAACACTCACACCCACCCTATAGGGTATTACACTTGTCCCCTTTCCTCATCTCATTTGGATGAGGTAAGTGAAGCAGAGGGAGGTTAAGCAACTAGTTTAAGGATACCCTAGAAGGAAAAGAGTCAGATTTCAATCCACCTGCCTGATCCCAGAGCCCCAGCGGTACCTCCAAAACAATGTTGTGGGGGGGAGGGGGGAGAAAAAGGATTTCTCAACTCTCCTTACCCCTTACCCATTCTTTCTGATCTTCCTATGGGCCATGTCTTCAAGGTGAAAGTCACGAAATAAAAGTCTCACAGGCACAATCCACAGCTGTAGATCTCACTGACTTTGGTGTTACAAATAGCAGGACTTTTGATTATCTTTTTTTTTTTTTTTTAAGATTTTATTTAATTGAGACAGCAAGACAGAGAACACAAGCAGGGGGAGAGACAGAGGGAGACAGAAAAGCAGACTCCCCGCTAAGCAGGGAGACAGACACAGGGCTCGATCCCAGGACCCCGGGATCAAGACCTGAGCCAAAGGCAGACGGTTAACCAACTGAGCCACCCAGGAGCCCCTTGACTGTCTTTCAAATATGAAATTAAAAAGTTTTTTTCTCTCCTCAATGTAGTACTGTTCTTCCAATTCTTCTTTCCCCACTTATGAAACATAATGTCAGCAGAATTGTATTTCATTGTATGGAAAAGGTAAGTAAGAAGTCCTAAATAAAAAAATAGACACAGAATGAATTTCATTTTCATACAAAATATGGATAGCTTTCTTGATGAAATTTTTTTAAAAAAATTCTAGTGCCTGATTAATGACCTACGAGCATGGGGACTGGTTGACCATCACCGGTGGAAACGAAAAGGCAGACCGACAAGAAGCATGCCATGCGATTCCAGGCCTGGGTATGAGGGTGCCTGGGCTTCCAGGGCACTAATTTGGGAGCAACGAAGTAAAGAATTCCCAGTAGGTACCAGGGCTGCTAGGTCAGGGGTCCGGACAAGCAGCACTGGACTACATGTTGAAATGTGGCACCTCACACGGAGCAGCAAAGACGACGGAGCCTGGAGGTCTGGGCTCCCATGTAGCTTCTGGTCGAATCCATTTAATCTTTCGGAGATAAATAGTATAAGCAAAACAAAAATAAAAAGCTAGATATAATATGTGTAAAATCAAATGAGCAAGCAGTCAAGGTTGTTTTATTTTTACTTTATTATTAGCTAGAAAGACTTTTCACTAGGCAAGTGTATTTCTTCCAAGAATTGCCCCAATGTGATCTCAAGAGTCCATGTTAAAACGCCTTTTCTGGAAGCTTCCTTTTCTCAGTTGTTGTATTCCTGAAGAGCCTGGGCCATGAAGAGTTTGCCTAAGTTTTGGGCAGTGAACTCCTTGATGTTCTGGCAGTAAGTGTTAATCTGGCCTGTGCATTTGGGAAAGTGAGAAAGAGAGTCACAATGTTCCACAAATTATAAAATGACCTAGCACACTAGGCAAGCAAGAAAATCAGAATACATAATCACCAGAATTTTATTTTGTTTTGTTCTCAATCAAGAGCTTATAGGAACCAATTCTGTTTGTCCATATCCTTATAATACAGAATGTAAATTCTTTTGAAAATAAGCTATCTTCCACTCTTGGTTACGTGGAGACGGAAGAAAAACAACAGCAGTTAAGTACTATTAGCTATCAATCAAAAGGTACTGACCTTGGGGCTTGGACGCACACTGTACTAACACAAGTGAGAAAACAACACTGGCTCTCCTCAGCCAGGCACAAAGTAGCTACCAAATCACAGAACTGCAAACAAAATGGACCACCTGACCCAGATGTGCACAGTACAGTAGTTTTCAGGCTGTGCTCTAGAAATATTAAGGGTTCCTTTTCTGGCCCAAGACAGAGCAGAAGCAGAGCGTCCCCACCAAGACAGGGGTCCATCGCTGCTCTTTAAGTCTTAAGACTAATGATCTAATCTGATGCAACATTTATGCAAGGTATTTTATATATATATAATACAAGTCTGTTTGAATTGGAATGTGTCTCGGTTTCCCAAATTTATGTGTGTTCTAGAAGGTTTTAAGAATTTGGAATCTGACCCCCCCGCCACACACACACACACACACACACACACACACACACTGAAAATGTATAAATGGAACTGAGAAATTGTAGAGTATTAGCTTTTTTTTGAGTGGGGTTTTCACTCTAAAAAAATCTCTCACGGACAACCGGCTGAATGAATCAAACAGTATTTAGCAACATTTATACAGAAATAAGGTTATCACAGCTAAATAAGAGCAAAATCAAGTCCTAGCATAGGACACAAGACCCCACCACTAAAAGATAGTGTTAAATGGTAGATACTCCCAAAGTACAACCAGAACTGCATTCCTATTGCTACAATGTAAGTCAAAGTAAGGGAAATCCTTTTCCTCCAGTCAGAAAATCCAATTCAATTCAAACACCCACCTACAGACGTGGGTTCAGTGCTGGGCTGGAACATGAAAAGTAAGCAGCTTGAGCTGAATGATCTTCTGCGTTATGGAACGTAAATATTTTTCCTTGGTTTCTATGAAAGATGACTCAAATAAAACCTTTCCACTTTAGAAAGTTTATAATGCCATCTCAAAAATGTTTAGCTAAACACAGAGTGAAGAAGCACTGAAAGGACCTTAGAAATAACAAAGACTGACAAATTCTTAAATTTCAGAAATTATAGGTGCTAAATTCAAATTCATCATTCAACCATTTTAAATACACTAGGTTTTATGATATATTTTTCTGTTTATAAATCTCTCCTTGTCTTCTGCTTCCTAAGGAATAGAGAAAACTAGCCATGTTTGCACTGGCCAACAATACCTGCAATGAGCAGAGAATCCATCCTGGCAGGAGGCTGAGGAGGTTTGAAAAGTTTGGACAGATCCTCCTCAGGTAGTGGGGGTTCTCCTCGACTCTGGCGCTGCATATTCTCCTGCTGGCGACGCTGCTGATACTAAAATTCAGAGAAGAAATGATTTGGTTATTTTTCTCTGAGGAGAAAAAAAAAAAAAAAAGACCTCCATCAATTATGCAATCAGCAAAACCCCACTGCCCTGAATTCCAACCTCAGTTTTATAAATGGTAACCCATGGTAACTCCTCCTTCTAAGAAGCTAATAAATATGGCAACAAAGAAAATTCCTTTGTTGGAAACTCTAGTGTCACTTTGGGCTCTAAGAGTCTATTAACTAATGATATCGAAAAAGCAAACTGGTTATGTGGGAAACTGGGGGCTTAAAAGGCAAAGAAGCTCATGATTAGTGAGTGGAGTGATTTTACCATTTATGACAATGGAGTAGATGACAGCATTAGAAGTATGACTTACCTTAACTGTAATAATGAAGTAATTAACCACCACATGGGGGAATTTTTTCAACTTTATCCTTACCGACCAAAACAATAATACTGATGATGGTGATAACTATAACATCATCATCATCACTATCATTATTATTATTATACTAGTAAATACTTCTACTAATCAGCTGTGCTTTTAGCTCTATAGCTAAGAATGAATATTAGCTTAGGAAATGCTCAAAAACTGTCAAACTAGGGGCGCCTGGGTGGCTCAGTCGGTCAAGCGGCTGCCTTCAGCTCAGGTCGTGATCCCAGGGTCCTGGGATCGAGCCCCGCATCGGGCTCCCTGCTCAGCGGGGAGCCTGCTTCTCCCTCTCCCTCT